ATACTATTAAAACTTAGATTTGCTTCTGGCAGATCCTCACTGAAGTAATCTCTAAATTTTTTTTTTAATTTGTATAAATTTAAGGGATACAAGTGCAATTTTGATACATGGATATATTGAATAGTGGTGAAGTCTGGGCTTTTAGAGTATCCATCACCCAAATAACATACATTGTACCCATTAAGTAATTTCTCATTATTCACCCCTGCCCACCACCTGACTCACCATTCCAAGTCGCCAACGTCTATCAATTCATACTCTGACCATGTATACATATTATTTAGTTCCCACTTATAAGTGAAAATATGTGGTCTTTGTCTGTTTCTGAATTATTTTACTTAACATAATGACTTCCAGTTCCATCCATGTTGCTGCAAAAGACATGATTTTATTTTTTATGGTTAAATAGTATTCCACTGTGGATATATACCATATTTTCTTTATCCAATCATCCATTTATAGAGGTTGATTCCATAACTTTGCTATTGTGAATAGTGCTGCAATAAACATACAAATAATACAAGTATCTTTTTTTTTTTTTTTTTGCAATAGAGGCTTACTCTGTTGCCCAGGCTGGAGTGCAGTGGCACAATCTCTGCTCACTGCAACCTCTGCCCCCTGATTGAAGTGATGCTCCTGCCTCAGCCTTCCAAGTAGCTGGGATTACAGGCACCTGCCACCATACCCACCACTGCACCTAGCTAATTTTTTTATTTTTATTTTTTTTTTTAGTAGAGATGGGTTTCACCATCTTGGCCAGGCTGGTCTTGAACTTCTGACCTCATGATCCACTGCCTTAGCTTCCCAAAGTGCTGGGATTACAGGCATGAGCCACTGCGCCCAGCCACAAATATCTTTTTAATATAATTATTTATTTTCATTCATGCAGATACCCATTTGTGAGACTGTTGTATTCTTCAGATAAAAAGAAAGTGATCCAAAATGGAATGTCTGAGCCTTAGGAAAGAAAGAAGAACATAGAAAATAACAAAGACATAAGTAAATCCAAACAGATTGTTAATTTTTTTTTTTTTTTTTTTTTTTTTTGAGACAGAGTCTCGCTCTGTTGCCTAGGTTGGAGTGCAGTGGTATGATCTCTGCTCACAATCTCCGCCTCCTGGGTTCAAACAATTCTCATGCCCAGCCTCCCAAGTAGCTGGGATTACACGTGTATGCCACAATGCCTGGCTAATTTTTGTATTTTTAGTAGAGATGGGGTTTTGCCATGTTGGCCAGACTGGTCTGGAACTCCTGACCTCAGGTGATCTGCCTGCCTTGGCCTCTCAAAGTGCTAGGATTACAGGGATGAGCCACTGCGCCTGGTCAGATGTTATGTGGAATTAAAAACACAAAATTGAAATGAAAAAGACAAAACAAAAAACAAAAAAAAAATAAAAGAAATTTAAAAAATAAAAAATAAAAACCCCCACAAAATTGAAATATCTGACAGCTTGGAATTAAAGTGTTCAAAGATTCTTTTGTTGTTTAAGAGCAAGCTAAAGATGATTACTTACTTTGGCTTTGTGGCACTAAATGTATAGTGCAGTTGTTACTCAGTATACACAGCTGGGATTGGTTCCAGAAGCCCTCTACCCCTGTGTATATCCAAACTTGTGCATATTCAAGTCCCAAAATAACCCCATAGAGCTCATATACAGAAAACATTGGCCCTCCTCATAACAGTTTTCACATCTGATGAATACTGTATTTTCTATCAGCTTTGGTTGGAAAAACACCCACATATAAGTGAACCTGTGCAGTTCAAATCCATGTTGTTTAAGGGCCAAGGATATATGTTAAAATTTCTAGGATAACTACTAAAAGGTAGAAATAGAGCATATAACTTCCAACGCTAGTAGAGAAACACAAAGAAATGAGACAAAAAATAACCAATCTGCTGGGCATGATGGCTCATGCTTGTAATCCCAGCACTTTAGGAGGCCAAAGGAGGAGGGTCACTTGAGGCCAGAAATTCAAGACCAGTCTGGGCAGCATAACAAGACCCTGTCTCTACAAAAAAAAAAAAAAAAAAAAAAAAAAAAAAAAGAAAAGAAAAGAAAAAAAGAAAAATTAGCCAGGCCTGGTAACATGGACTTGTAGTCTCAGCTGCTCAATAGGCTGGTGTGAGTGGATGCTTGAGCTCAGGATGTTGAGGTTACAATGAGCTATAATCATATCATGGCCCTGAAGCCAGGGTGACAGAGCAAGACACTCTCAAGTAAATAAGTAAATAAATAATCAATCAACACAAAAAGAGGCAAGAAAGGAGAAAAAAAAGCAACATAAAAAAGGTGGGACAAATAGAAACCACAAAGCAAGACAATTAAACATAATGAATAAATGAACTAGAAGTAGTTGCTTTGGGTAAATCAGGATGGGTTACTGGCTCCTTCTCTCAAAATCAGCCTGGAAAAGTTATAGAAACAAAAGAGAAACATGAATTCCAGAAACCTAACAACATACTAGTATGTTATGGATTTAAATGACTGAAGCCAACCGGGCAAAGTGCAGCTTCAGGCAGCAGTGAGACGACAGGTTTGACAGAAACATCTTACTTTAAGTCTTATTCTTGCCTCCCTACACCTTACTATGGAACAATCTTTTCTTGCCCCTTCATTCCAGATATTAGCTGCTGTCCATAAGTATCAGGGCAATGGAGAAGTCTTGTGAGCTGACCACCTACCCTCAGGCATTCAACTTTCCATCTTTTCCTCTCCAAACTGTTAAGAAGACGGTCTCCTTTCAATGCTGCCAAGGCTAGGATATCAGTTTCTGGTTGTTTAGCTCTCAAAAAACCTTAACTAATATATATTTGCATATCTTTACTGTTTCTGGAATTCCTTAGTATCTCCATTAGAGTGCTTACAGAAAGAAAAAAAAAGAACTTTAGAAAATCTCCAACCTTCAAAGAATTAGGGAAGTAGGATGTTGAAAATGAATGCAAAAAGTCTATTAATTTATTTTTAAAATACGTTTAGTTTATGCACTTTCTGCTCCCCACGACTAACTGTAGATAATCAAGCTAAGGCTCTTTTAAAATATTGTTCTACATGAAAGCTGCTTTTAATTTTTGAAGTTAAAGATCAGTGGCACAAATGCCCCTTTACCTTAAGAGATGAGCTAACAATAATGGTGGTTGTCCATTTTATTTTTTCTTTTCCACTTTCAGCCATCTGTCTGTCTGTGGATCAACCTAGCTTCTAATGGTACAACAATCTGAGAAAAACAAGAACAAAAAGAATAAAAAGAAATGTCTGATCAATGAGTAAATTAAAGATGGAAATAAAACCAGGGTATTGGAGACATTTTAAAGATTATCTGAACATCAAAATTTGACAACAGAAAAAGTATCTGTCTTGTTATACGTTTAGCTTATTCAGTACTATGCTTCCTATTAACAAGTGTTAAAAGCAATAATTCCCATTTCATCAGACAAACTTTAAAGAAAGAGGACTTGCATCAAGAACATGCAAGGTCTGAGGTTTTTATCCTTCCTGCAGGCTAAAAAGTTAAACTGCCAGGGTTTCACATATACAAACAAAAGACAGACTCATAGATAAAGGACAGTTTTTACTCAGAGCAACAGCAGTATAACCACAGTATTATCATTTTCTTGCACCAGTTCCTCAAGCCCAATTCCCACAGGGTGATGGGACAAAGGCCAGATGACATCTGCACACACAGTGGGTTGCATTATAGGAAAGAAACCCAGAGCTTTGGAAACTTCAGTCTTTTGTAAGCAAATCTGCCTTCTACTATGGAGGGAAATACTTTATCTCACATAAGTAATATGTGAGGTGAGACCTGAATATTGGCATCTTTTTCTTTTAAGACAGGGTCTCACTCTTTCATCTACAGGCTGGAGTATTGTGGTGTGATCCTAGCCTTAAACTCCTAGGCTCAAGCAATCCTCCTGCCTGAGCTTCTCAAGCAGCTAGGACTCAGGTACATACTACCTTGCCTGGCTATTTTTTTTTTTTTAACTTGTTGTGGAGATGGGGGTCTCCCTATGTTGGCCAACAGTCTTGAACTCCTGGCTTCAAGTGACCCTCTCACCTCAACCTCCCAAATTGTTAGGATTGCAAGTGTGAGCCACTGCACCTGGCCAATGTATGCAGTTCTACGAAGTACACAGGTGATACTGATGATGCTGGTCTTGGGACCACACTTTAAGAACCACTGCACTAACAGAAGGAAGAATATTCTGAAGAACAACAATGTACCATACAATGGCAACCAGGTATATAGTAAAATAAAACTGCATTTAATTTCAGTGTGTTAAACATACATAGTATGCGTATTTGAGGTGAGACAAAAGAAAATTACCATAAACTTAGTAGCATAAAATGGAATCTCACTGTGCTCTAAATTTGCTACTTTTCTAATTTCATTTAGACTGAAAACCCTAAAGCCATGTTTCCACTTACATCTTTTGCCAATTTTCCTATTAGCTTTTTCTTTTTCTTATTCATTTGTAGAATTTCTTTATATATGACAGATATCAGTCCTTTGTCGGCTACATGTACTTTCCCGTTTGTGACTTGTCTTTTTTTCCTCCTTCTTTAGGGTAATTCTTGATACACACAAATTATTATTTCCAATGTAGTCAAACTAATCAATCTTTTCATTTATTGTTAGTGGGTTTTGTTTCTTATTTAAGAAATCTTCCTCCAACGCAAGGCACTAATAATTTAAAAAAAAAAAAAAAAAGACATCTTCCTGGGCAGCCATCTTGCCTTTGCTGCGGGCTGCAGTTGGAGGACTTTCCCTGCTTCAGATTAACCACCAGCACAAATCAAGAAAAGTTAGCCAAACTTCCGGATCAGGTCCAGAAAGAGGGCAAGGGTATAGCTTACAGAAATAAGATGGTACATAGAACAGCTACAGCTGATGACAGAAAGCTGGAGAAAAGCTACAAGCTGTACAATAGCCAGGTCATCACCATTGGCAACGAGTGGTTCCAGTGTCCAGAGGTGCTTTGCTAGCCTTCCTTCCTGGGCATGGAATCTTGTGGCACCCACAAGACCACACTTAACTCCATCATGAAGTGTGACATGGACATCTGCAAAGACCTGTATTCCAACACGGTGCTGTCCAGCAGCACCACTATGTACTCAGGCATCGCCAACAGGCTGCAGAAGGAGATCACCATCCTGGTACATAGCACTATAAAGATCAAGATCATTGCACCTCCAGAGCAAAAGTACTTGGTATGGATTGGCGGCTCCATCATGTCACTGTCCACCTTCCAGCAGATGTGGATTAGCAAGCAGAAGTACGACCAGTCAGGCCCTCCATCATTCATGGCAAATGCTTCTAAATGGACTTTGAGCAGATGCATAGCATTTGCCGCATGGGTTAATTCAGAAGAGTAAATTTGCCCTTGGCAAATGCATACAGCTCATGCTTGTCTCACAAAACTGGAATAAACTTTCAAAAAGAAATTGTCCTTGAAGCTTGTAACTGATATCAGCACTGGATGATAAACTCGTTGCTGATTTTGACCTTGTATTCAAGTTAACTGTTCCCCTTGGTATTTGTTTAATACCCTGTACATACATTTGATTTCAACCCTTAGTATATGTGGCTTGGTCACTTTGTAGTTGAGGTAAGAATGTGCTTGTGGAAGACAAGTCTGTGGCTTGGTGAGTCTGTGTGGCCAGCAGTCTCTGATTGGTGCAGGGTATTAATGTGTCAGGGCTGAGTGTTCTGAGATTTCTCTAGAGGCCGGTAAGGGCTTCTGAACCAGTTGTTTCTGTCTTTTCAATCAACACTTCTGGAGAGTCACAACTGTATCTAGAAAAACTGTCTGCCAGAAGCAATGCTAAATCCCCTATGGAGGAAAATACTATCCAGGGCCTCAGATTACAAATTAGCTTTATAATTTTGCAATCATAACATGCAGCACACAATTAAAAAAAAAAACACTCAGGCATACAAAGAGTTAAGAATGATTGAAAACCAAGGGAAAAGGCTGACTGTAATGAAGAGACCAAGGGGAGACTGAAATATTGGCATTGTCATACCCAGACTACAACTGATTAATTTGTTCAAAGCAGTATATGACAATTAGAGAATTTTAGTAGAAAATTTAAAACCATAAAAGTAAATAAAATGGAAATTCTAGAAATGAAAAAATTTCAAAATTGGAAACAACTCAATGGAGAGGTTAAAGAGCAGATTAAACACAAGTGTGGAATGTAGGTCAGAGGAAAATATCCAGACTGAGGTAGGTTAAGGAAAAGGAACACTGAGAAAAGCCTAATACACATACAAGGCATTATGAGGCTTGTGAAATAGTCTAACACAGAGATAACTGAAATCCAAGAAAGAGAAAAGAGAATGGAGCAGGACCAATATATAAAAATAGAGTGGCCATGTCAATTTTCCAAAATTGACCGAAGACATCAAGTCATAGGTTCAAGAACAATAATAAATTCTGAACAGATTAAACAACAGATTAACAAAGTAAAACGAAAGACCAGAAGAAAAAAATCTTCAAAGGAGCCAGTGAAAAAATGTGTAATATTTTTAAAGGGCAACAATAAACTGAAAACTGACTTCTCAACAGAAACACTGTAGCTAGGAGGCAACTGAATAACAACTTTTAAGTACCGAAAGAAAATTGCCAACATGGCATTTCATAGATGGGATGATTATGTTTTGAAAATGAGGGAAAAATAAAAAAAAATTTTATGACAAAAATAAAAGCAGATAATTCATTGTCAGTAGACCCACACTTAAAGGAGATACCAAGAGAAGTTCTTCAGGCACAAAGCAAATAATCCCACATGGAAGCACAAAGATGCCAGAATAAATGAAGACTAATAGAAAGGAAAAATGTAAATATGTGGGTAACTCTAAATCAAGAATGACTATAAAAAAGAACAATAATATATAACGAAGTTTAAAACAGATAATGATTAAAATATACAACAACAATAGCAAAAAAAGGAGAAATGATGGTAACTGTACCTAAGGTGCAGGTCCTTGAAGTGGTAGAAGTACTCACTTATACTGGATCTCAATACGTCAGTCATGTATTTTGTAATTTCTGAGTTAATCACCAAATTATGGTTTAAAAAACTCAACAAGGCAATAGAGAAAAACAGATTTAAAGCAAGCAAACAAACAAAAACACTTCAGAAGTCCAAAGCAGACAAGAGAGAAAAAAGAACATATATCTACCTTAAGGGGTAAATAGAAAGCATAGTGACATAGCATATTAAACCCAAATACATCAGTATCTACATATAAGACGAAATTCTAAAAGAAAAGATTTCCCCAAATGACAAGGGAAAAACCATATGCTGCTTACAATAAAAAACACTCTAACTACTAGGATATAAAAAGGGTGAAAGTAAAAGGATGGGAAAAGATATACCACACAACCATTAACCAAAAGAAAGTTGCTACCATACGTTAACTTGCATCCACGTTAAGAATGAAGAGCACTGTAAGTGGTAAATAGATGTGCAAATGTAAGACTGAATATCTTCCTCAGTTCTCCTCTTAATTTCTCTGAAAGATGAATACATAACGCAGTAATTATAACTATATTATTGGGTCAAGTGTGTGTGTACAGTGTGTGTGTACAGTGTGTGTGTGTGTGTGTGTGTGTGCATGTGAGTATGTTATCTGGAGGAAATGGAGCTACACTGGTGCAGTTTCTCTGTTTTTCCAGAATTAAGTTAGTGTTAATCTGAAATAATAAATTAAGATGCATATTATAGTATCCAGAGAAAGCACTAAGAAAATAACAAAAAAATTTTTTAAGTCAGAGGAATTAAAGTGGTATACTACAAAATATTCATATAACACAAAAAAGGTAGTAAAGAAGGAACAGAAGAACAAAAAAGACACAAGACATCTAGAAACTAAATACCAAAGTCACAAACTTAATAGTAGTGATGATTGTACCTTATAGTGGATGTACTAAAAATCACTGACTTGTACATTTTAAAATGTATTTAATGTCATGCGATTTATATCTCAATTTTTAAATTTTTGTTTTGTTTTGTTTTGTTTGAGACGGAGTTTCGCTCTTGTTACCCAGGCTGGAGTGCAATGGCACGATCTCGGCTCACTGCAACCTCCGCCTCCTGGGTTCAGGCAATTCTCCTGCCTCAGCCTCCTGAGTAGCTGGGATTACAGGCACGCGCCACCACACCCAGCTAGTTTTTTGTATTTTTAGTAGAGACGGGGTTTCACCATGTTGACCAGGATGGTCTCGATCTCTTGACCTCGTGATCCACCCGCCTCGGCCTCCCAAAGTGCTGGGATTACAGGCTTGAGCCACCACGCCCGGCAATTTTTAAATTTTTTAAATAGCAGTCATACTGACTAACTACATTAAAATGTGAACGAATAAGATGTTACAATCAAAGGAAAATTCAACTATATGTTGTCATTAGATTCAAGGATGCAAACAGGTTGAAAGTAATAGAATGGAAAAAGATAAATTATGGCAACAGTAACCATAAGAGAACTGGTGGAGTGGCCATATTGATAAAACAAAAATAGACTTTAGGATAAATATCAATTGAGACAAAGGGATATATTATAATGATGAAAAGGTATATTCCTGATATATACATTGCTTATATATTATAAATGTGTATTCATCTAACAGAACTCCAAAATACATGAAAAAAAGGTCATACAAACCACAATAGAAATTAATATAAATAAAGAAAAAAATTTTGGGAAAGCCACAAATACTTGGAAATCAAACACACACTTCTAAGTAACCCATAGATCAAAGAATAAATCATAATAGATGTTAGGCAATATTTTGAAGTGAGTGAAAACAAACAACATATACAAATATATGAAATGTAGCTAAAATTAAAGGAGGAGCTAAATGTAGTTAGAGGGAAACATATAGCTGTAAAAAGCAAAATTAGGCTGGGTTCAGTGGCTTACCCCTATAATCCCAACACTTTGGGAGGCCAAGGCCAGTGGATTGCTGGAGCCCAGGAGTTTGCCTGGGCAACAGGGCAAAACCCCATCTCCACAAAAAATACACAAATTAGCTTGGTATGATGGCACACAACTCTAGTCCTAGCTACTCGGAAGGCTGAGGAGGGAGGATCACTTGAGCCTGGGGAGGTTGAGTTGATTGTTCCACTGCATACTAGCCAGCCAGCCTGGGTGACAGAGTGAGACCTTGTCTTAAAAAAAAAAAAAAAAGCCGGGCACGGTGGCTCAAGCCTGTAATCCCAGCACTTTGGGAGGCCGAGGCGGGTGGATCACAAGGTCGAGAGATCGAGACCATCCTGGTCAACATGGTGAAACCCCGTCTCTACTAAAAATACAAAACATTAGCTGGGCATGGTGGGAGGTGTCTGTAATCCCAGCTACTCAGGAGGCTGAGGCAGGAGAATTGCCTGAACCCAGGAGGCGGAGGTTGCGGTGAGCCGAGATCGCGCCATTGCACTCCAGCCTGGATAGCAAGAGCGAAACTCCGTCTCAAAAAAAAAGAAAAAAACAAAAAAACAAAAAACTAAACTAGAAAAGAAGACAGACATCAAATTAATACTTTATTCCATCTTATATTAAAAGAAGAACAGACCAGGCGCGGTGGCTCACACCTGTAATCCCTGCACTTTGGGAGGCCGAGGCGGGTAGCTCACGAGGTCAACAAATCCAGACTATCCTGGCCAACATGGTGAAACCCCGTCTCTACTAAAAATACAAAAATTAGCTGGGCATGGTGGTGCACACCTGTCAGCCCAGCTACTCCGGAGGCTGAGGAAGGAGAACCGCTTGAACCTGGGAGGCAGAGGTTGCAGTGAGTCGAGACTGTGCCACCGCACTCCAGCCTGGTGACAGAGTGAGACTCCACCTCAAAAAAAACGGAACAAATTAAACTCAAAGCAATGGGAAAAGAGGAAGTAAAGAGATTAAAGCAGAAATCAATGGAATAAGAATATAATAAAGAAAATTAATAAACAGGTTTTTTTTTGAGACAGAGTCCCACTTTGTCACCCAGGCTGGAGTGCAATGGTGCAATATCGGCTCACTGCAACCTCCGATTCCCCGGGTTCAGGCAATTCTCTTGCCTCAGCCTCCCCAGTAGCTAAGATTACAGGTGACTGCCACAATGCCCATCTAATTTTTTTGTATTTTTAGTAGAGACGGGGTTTCTCCATGTTGGCCAAGCTGGTCTCAAACTCCTGACCTCAGGTGATCCACCCCCTTCGGCCTTCCAAAGTGGTGGCATTACAGGCATAAGCCACTGTGCTCGGCCTACAGTCGGTTCTTTGAAAAGATCAACAACATTGATAAACATTGAGCTAGACTAAGTCTTTATAACAG